TGGAAGCTGAAAGTGAAGCTAACAGAAAACGTTCTGGGGAAAGATGGCCATAATGGTGAGAGACTTGGGAGCCATGAGGAAAGGCAAAGGGATTTGTGTAGCCAAGACTAGAAAATGCTGGCAGAGGGGTGCCTGAAAGCCAGCTATTGGAAAGGCTCAGACAGACCAGTTCCTCTCGCAGCTGCAGATGGCAGCTCTGAAACCGGCAGGAGACGGCCACAGAGGCACTTTCCTAGTCTCTGAAATACAGCAAGATTCTAGCGGTGGGGCTCCAGGGGTTGAGATCTGGGGGTTGGACTCTGGGGGTTGAGATCTGGGGGTTGGACTCTGGGGGTTGAGATCTGGGGGTTGAGATCTGGGGGTTGGACTCCGGGGGTTGAGATCTGGGGGTTGGACTCTGGGGGTTGAGATCTGGGGGTTGAGATCTGGGGGTTGGACTCTGGGGGTTGAGATCTGGGGGTTGAGACCTGGGGGTTGGACTCTGGGGGTTGAGATCTGGGGGTTGAGATCTGGGGGTTGGACTCTGGGGGTTGAGATCTGGGGGTTGAGACCTGGGGGTTGGACTCTGGGGGTTGAGATCTGGGGGTTGGACTCTGGGGGTTGAGATCTGGGGGTTGAGATCTGGGGGTTGGACTCTGGGGGTTGAGATCTGGGGGTTGAGACCTGAGGGTTGGACTCTGGGGGTTGAGATCTGGGGGTTGGACTCCGGGGGTTGAGATCTGGCGGTTGGACTCTGGGGGTTGAGATCTGGGGGTTGGACTCCGGGGGTTGAGATCTGGGGGTTGGACTCTGGGGGTTGAGATCTGGGGGTTGGTCTCCGGGGGTTGAGATCTGGGGTTGGACTCTGGGGGTTGAGACCTGGGGGTTGGACTCTGGGGGTTGAGATCTGGGGGTTGATACCTGGGGGTTGATACCTGGGGGGTTGAGACCTGGGGGTTGGACCCCGGGGGTTGATACCTGGGGGTTGATACCTGGGGGGTTGAGACCTGGGGGTTGATACCTGTGGGGTTGAGACCTGGGGGTTGAGATCTGGGGGTTGAGAACTGGGGGTTGGACTCCGGGGGTTGAGACCTGGGAGTTGAGACCTGGGGGTTGGACTCTGGGGGTTGAGATCTGGGGGTTGAGATCTGGGGGTTGGACTCTGGGGGTTGAGATCTGGGGGTTGGACTCTGGGGGTTGAGACCTGGGGGTTGAGATCTGGGGGTTGAGACCTGGGGGTTGGACTCTGGGGGTTGAGATCTGGGGGTTGAGATCTGGGGGTTGGACTCTGGGGGTTGAGATCTGGGGGTTGGACTCTGGGGGTTGGACTCTGGGGGTTGAGATCTGGGGGTTGAGATCTGGGGGTTGAGATCTGGGGGTTGGACTCTGGGGGTTGAGATCGGGGGGTTGATACCTGGGGGTTGATACCTGGGGGGTTGAGACCTGGTGGTTGGATTCCGGGGGTTGAGACCTGGGGGTTGAGATCTGGGGGTTGAGATCTGGGGGTTGGACTCCGGGGGTTGAGACCTGGGGGTTGAGACCTGGGGGTTGGACTCTGGGGGTTGAGATCTGGGGGTTGAGATCTGGGGGTTGGACTCTGGGGGTTGAGATCTGGGGGTTGGACTCTGGGGGTTGAGACCTGGGGGTTGAGATCTGGGGGTTGAGACCTGGGGGTTGGACTCTGGGGGTTGAGATCGTGGGGTTGATACCTGGGGGTTGAGACCTGGGGGTTGAGATCTGGGGGTTGAGACCTGGGGGTTGGACTCTGGGGGTTGAGATCGTGGGGTTGATACCTGGGGGTTGATACCTGGGGGTTGATACCTGTGGGGTTGAGACCTGGGGGTTGAGATCTGGGGGTTGAGATCTGGGGGTTGGACTCCGGGGGTTGAGACCTGGGAGTTGAGACCTGGGGGTTGGACTCTGGGGGTTGAGATCTGGGGGTTGGACTCTGGGGGTTGAGATCTGGGGGTTGGACTCTGGGGGTTGAGACCTGGGGGTTGAGATCTGGGGGTTGAGACCTGGGGGTTGGACTCTGGGGGTTGAGATCTGGGGGTTGAGATCTGGGGGTTGGACTCTGGGGGTTGAGATCTGGGGGTTGGACTCTGGGGGTTGGACTCTGGGGGTTGAGATCTGGGGGTTGAGATCTGGGGGTTGAGAACTGGGGGTTGGACTCTGGGGGTTGAGATCGGGGGGTTGATACCTGGGGGTTGATACCTGGGGGGTTGAGACCTGGTGGTTGGATTCCGGGGGTTGAGACCTGGGGGTTGAGATCTGGGGGTTGAGATCTGGGGGTTGGACTCCGGGGGTTGAGACCTGGGGGTTGAGACCTGGGGGTTGGACTCTGGGGGTTGAGATCTGGGGGTTGAGATCTGGGGGTTGGACTCTGGGGGTTGAGATCTGGGGGTTGGACTCTGGGGGTTGAGACCTGGGGGTTGAGATCTGGGGGTTGAGACCTGGGGGTTGGACTCTGGGGGTTGAGATCGTGGGGTTGATACCTGGGGGTTGATACCTGGGGGGTTGAGACCTGGTGGTTGGATTCCGGGGGTTGAGACCTGGGAGTTGAGATCTGGGGGTTGAGATCTGGGGGTTGGACTCCGGGGGTTGAGACCTGGGGGTTGAGCCCTGGGGGTTGGACTCTGGGGGTTGAGATCTGGGGGTTGAGATCTGGGGGTTGGACTCCGGGGGTTGAGATCTGGGGGTTGGACTCTGGGGGTTGAGACCTGGGGGTTGAGATCTGGGGGTTGAGACCTGGGGGTTGGACTCTGGGGGTTGAGATCGGGGGGTTGATACCTGGGGGTTGATACCTGGGGGGTTGAGACCTGGGGGTTGGATTCTGGGGGTTGAGACCTGGGGGTTGAGATCTGGGGGTTGAGATCTGGGGGTTGGACTCCGGGGGTTGAGACCTGGGGGTTGAGACCTGGGGGTTGGACTCTGGGGGTTGAGATCTGGGGGTTGGACTCTGGGGGTTGAGATCTGGGGGTTGAGATCTGGGGGTTGGACTCTGGGGGTTGAGTTCTGGGGGTTGGACTCTGGGGGTTGAGATCTGGGGGTTGAGATCTGGGGATTGAGATCTGGGGGTTGAGATCTGGGGGTTGAGATCTGGGGGTTGCACTCTGGGGGTTGAGATCGGGGGGTTGAGATCTGGGGGTTGAGATCTGGGGGTTGAGATCTGGGGGTTGGACTCTGGGGGTTGAGATCGGGGGGTTGAGATCTGGGGGTTGAGATCTGGGGGTTGAGATCTGGGGGTTGGACTCTGGGGGTTGAGATCGGGGGGTTGAGATCTGGGGGTTGAGATCTGGGGGTTGGGCTCTGGGGGTTGGACTCTGGGGGTTGAGATCTGGGGGTTGAGATCTGGGGATTGAGATCTGGGGGTTGAGATCTGGGGGTTGGACTCTGGGGGTTGAGATCGGGGGGTTGAGATCTGGGGGTTGAGTTCTGGGGGTTGAGATCTGGGGGTTGGACTCTGGGGGTTGAGATCTGGGGTTGGACTCTGGGGGTTGAGATCTGGGGGTTGGACTCTGGGGGTTGAGATCTGGGGGTTGGACTCTGGGGGTTGAGATCGGGGGGTTGAGATCTGGGGGTTGAGATCTGGGGGTTGGGTTCTGGGGGTTGAGATCTGAGGTTTGAGATATGTGGGTTGAGATCTGGGGGTTGCGATCTGGGGGTTGAGATCCGGGAGCTCAGACACAGCCAGGGGGACCCTGCAGCCCAGTTTCTGAGCTGGGTGTTGACCGGAGAGCCTCAAGAACCTGTGGGGCAGCGTTTGGTGTCAAAGGCTGGCCCACCCCCATGGCTTTGGCCTGAAGGGTCCTCAGACACGACCTGCTCTACCTCTGAGGTTGTGACTTGCCCAGGACCACAGTGGCTGGTGGAGCCAGAGACCAGGTTCCCCGACACCTCGTGATAACATGTTACTTCTCACGCCTCCCCTGGCCTGTTGAGCCGCGTGTTGCTTTGTAACCCTTTCTTGCTGCGGCACATTTAACTGCGTCGGCGCATCTCTCCGTCCATCAATTCACTCTCTCTCAGCCACCGGGACAGGCAGTGTGAGTCCACAACCTCTCCAGTCTCGTCAGGTGTGTCAGCCTACGCACCCCCTCTTCATCCCTAACATGCGAATGAACCACCCAACACCAATGACGTAGAAATGTAAAAAGAGCAGCCACGTTTCCGCCCCAGGGTTTACTGCAGGAACAGTCAACCCTGGGCTGGTTCCTGGTTTTGCTTCTGTTTGTGGTTGGCGAAGCCGCAGGCAGGGAACCGCCCGTGGGGCAGAGCTCTGGCTTGGTGTGCCTCAGCCATAAGACAACCACGCAACACCCTGCCTCAGTCCTTCACCTTGAAATATGGATGACTCATGTACCCCGCCCTAGCAGCCCGCGCACAGAACAGTCGGCCCATGTCAGCTCACCCTGTGCTCAGGGCAGGGCCAGGCCTGGGTGAGAGAGAGAGAGAGAGAGAGAGAGCCCAGGACAGTGCTGGGTGGGGCCAGGCCTGGATGAGGGAGAGAGCCCAGGACAGCGCTGGGCAGGGCCAGGCCTGGGTGAGAGAGAGTGCCCAGCAAAGTCACTCCACAGAACTTCCCAGACCTTCTATGAACAGGGGTCTAAGAGGGAAATCAACATTTAAAAGGTGAAATTCTTTAAAGGTTCTATTCCTTGAATACATTGAGGATTAGCAATGCAAGGGCAGGAGGCTTACTTAAGAGTGTTTAGCTAAAAGGTAAAGTATGTCAGAAGTAACCAGAAACCTCCACTGACCCCTCAGGGCACAATGTATCTGAAGGGGTTTTCAAGGAGCAACCTAAGAGTGTGCGGGAGATAAACTGAGAAGTGGGTCATTTAAAATTTGGTAAAGTAACAAAACCCTTAAGGGGTGCCGTGAAAGTCCTGTGGGTGCCGGGAGGAGCCCCAGGCATGGAGGCGTGAGCTCTGGAACTCCGAGGCTAGGCACCACCGGGCGAGTGGACACCCTCCCTTTATCAAGAGAATTTTATTTTTTAAAAAAATAACTACAGAAAGGACAAAGAATTAAAAGAATTTTAATAAAATCAAGTTTACATTTGTACATCTTGTGTATTTGGGACCCAACCAGGGGCGAAGGATAGAGTTGCAAGGACAATGGTTTCCATAGGGGAGCAAGCAGAAAGCAAGGGCTACCCCAGCTGTGTGACAGGCAGCGCTCGATGGTGTGACCGAGGCCCCTCCCTCCAGCACAGCTTCCCAGGCTGAGCCAGGCCCGTGCCGCACAGCCTACACCCCCCATTAATTCTCGACAGGCAACAGCAGATACACAGGCCATAAAATTAGACAGTCTTGCCCACAGAACGTAAAATGACAACCGAGTTCAGTTCATGCTGTTTTAACTAGAATGGCTAACAGAACCTAGAGGGAAAAGGGGCTGAGTGGTGCTCCCAATTGCTCTGTCCAACAGCACGGTCACAGTGCAGCAGCCCTGTTGAAAGAACATGTATTTCTTTTCAAAATATGATTGGAGAAAAGAGCCTGTGGGAGTTTGAGAAAGATTAGAGAAAGGTTTTGAACACAGGAGACAATTCTGCAGTGTCACAGAATTCTGCCTGTCTTCGAGGATCTGGGAGAGCTGGAAAACTGTTCAACTCCAATTCCCATTATTCTAAAGGAAAAAAAAAAACATTTCTAAGTATTGATCAATGTGCAGGGAAAAAAGAGATGAGTGGCCCCAAGTTAGAAATGAGCAATCACAAGACGTTTTCAAGATTTTACCCATTCTGAGTAGAAACAGTGCTTTGCAAAGTGCATATTGCATGGACTAGTCGCCCGTTCTTCGAGGAGTAAATCCAAGCACACAAGTTGAACGGTGATATTTATGCACAGTAATATGGTGATTCTGCAAGCCATCCGCAGGGCGGCTCCTGGCTGGGCTGTGTCCACCCCAAGCGACAGCTCACGGCTGCGTCGCAGGCAGAATTCCTTCATTATCTTTTGTTGAGCTCACCGAGACTTAGTTAGGAAAGAAAGCGCGGATGCCTTTGCCTTCTTGGCCCAGTTGGCATCACAGAGGAAAAGGAATGCTGACCACTGCTAGTGCAGAAGACGTTTTGAAAGACTGGAGTGGGCTCTTCATCCCCCTCCGTAAGGCTGAGGCTGAGGGAGGGCGGTTCCAGGTTCTCTTCTCACAGACGCTGATGCTTGCTTGCAAGCCTTGCATGGGGTACAGTGTCTTTATTGTTCATTCCTAACAGAATCAATCATCAAAATGAAGAAACCCGAGAGGGCAGTGCAGTAACCACAGAAAGAATCCGCAGTCTGGGACCGACAGGCATTCATTTCCCTGTGAGCAGGAGACCTCAGAGCAGGCATGTAAAGTGCTGGAGGTAAGGCAGCGGGCTGGGCTTCCTCTAAGGGTGTGGCATGACCTGCAGGGAGGGCGCCACCTCCCCACGGGCAACGGCAGCACCGCCCATGCCTGCCCGGCTGCGAGTGAGGGGAAGCCGGCCTCGCCTGAAAATACACTCAGTTTGTGCTCATTGATTCCCTTTTAACTTCCCAAGGATTCAATAGGAGGTACATTTAACAAGAAAAACACCCCTAACAAATACGACAGGTGATTTTCTAAATGAGAGAAATATTACAAAGATAATATAACTTCAAATAAAAATGTTTAGTCGAGCACATTGGCCGTGTAGTTTCAGGCCAGCACACATGGGCCCTGTCCCCACGGTTCCCCGTCTCTGCCGTGGTCCAGACGGGCCGGCAGCCCCTCTCTCGGCCGTCATCAGTTTCATAGTGGTGTTCACTTGCTAGAAGCCAGAAGGGAAGCAGGAGGGAACGGACACACCTCCCAGGCCAGCCAATGCCAAGGGCAAGAGCAGAGCCCCGAGGTCATCGGGAAGCAGCCACTGTGCCGTGGACGGAGCACGCACCACGTGGGAGAAGTGCGACATGAAACCTGCCGCACAGGACCCTGCCTGGCCACTTGCAGGGCGGGAGAGGTCACCTGCTGCCGCCTGAAGCCACTGTCTGGGCAGGTGTGTGCCTGATGTGGCGTGGGCGCCAGCCTGTGGGGGTGTGCCCGGAAGGCTCACGTATCCGTCCAAGTGGACAACCGTGTGTCTGGGTGGGCGAACGAGCACGTCTCTCCTTGTGGGTTTCCTGTTTACATTCAATGCCGATTGGTCAGCAGGGAAGAGAACTTGTTTCACACTGACGGAGCCTCCCGGGCACCGAGACGTCGCCTCTGTCTTGGCTGGCACAGCGCCGCCGCGTTCTGCTCCTTGCACTGGGCAGGCTTGGTGTGCGAAGAACTCGAGGTCCCCCTGGCGCCCAGGCGGCCCCTTCAAGTCCGAGCGCCGGGGTGGGGGGCGCTGGGGTTCGTGTGTCTGCTGGCAGCACAGTGGGTGTGGACGAGGTCACCGGTTGGGTATCTAACAAACACTGGCTCGCAGAAGGGACTGTGGCACACCTGACACAGCTGTTTGTCTGAGAGCCGGAAGGAGCTTCTTTTCAGCTTCATCTGCGAAAATAAAGACAGGTTCTCACATGTTGCTGTTTAGTCTTTCAGACACGCCTGACCCCAGGGACCACTGTTACTGATGACCATTGCTTTAATATCAACTTCCTGAAACACAGTATTAGAAGTGAAAATAACAAACACAGCCTTGGTAACTGGGGAAGCACAAAGAGCCTCGAAACCCCTTCCTTATTTTACAAACATCACTAGTGCTTGTCTGGCGGAGGCATCCCACCGAGATGGCCCCTCGGACGCTCTGTGAGCTTGGGCGCACCCCGGCGAGGCCTGCTTACCGTGGTGCCCTTAGAGCTGGATGAGGCCGCCCCACCCTCGCTTCCCGGGGCCGCTCACCGACAAACAAGCAGAGGAAGGCACAAACAGGGCACCTGGTCAAAGCCACAGGGCTGGCTAGTGGCACATTCCTGACGTCCTAGGACACATTTTCTTTCCTTAAGGTACTAACAAGCCTGAGCTGTGACGCCATCGCCAGCTAAGAGCCTTTCTGCACAGTTCCCTGCGGCCACACGGCAGCTGGCTGGAGGCTGAGCAGCAACTTGGTGAGTTCACCTTGGACACATTAGTGTCATCAGTCCTCCGACATTTATTCAATGCCCTCGGGACGCCTGGCTTGGCTCTAGAGATCATAAATACTGAGATCATAAATGACTTCCTGCTCTCAAGGAACCAAGCAATTATGAAAGGTGTGCTCAGAATGGTTAACCGGCTGAGGGGTGTGAAGGTTCCACCAGGGCACCACCTGGCCGGGTTTCCTGCAGGTGGTCCCCAGATACGAAGGGACAGGTGAGATCACCCCAGCAGAGAGAACGGCGGGAACAAAGGCCATACATGTGGAGGCGTGTCACCCTGGGGGGTGCCACACGTCCTGGCAAGCCGTGATGGGCCAAAGAGGTGAGACGGAATCTTCCAGGCACCGACCTCTCCTGGGAGCCAATGACGCTTCCAACGGGGACAGGCTCCGGGGAGACCGCTCCTCCCACGGAGGGGTCCCCAAAGGGAGGGGAGGTAGGGGGCTGTTGCAGACTGAATTGTGCCCCCCGATTCATACGTTGGAGCCCTAATTCCTAATGTGATGGTATTTGGAGGTGGGGCCTGTGGCAGGTGCTAAGGTCAGATGAGGCCATGGTGGGCACCCAGGACGGGAGTAGGGCCGTCAGAAGAGGGAAAGGCCAGAGCTGCTCTGCTGCGAGAGGACACAGGGAGCGCCACACCAGGCAGGGAGTCCGCACCAGGCAGGGACTCTGCCGGCCACGCTTCTTAACTCCCAGCCCCTGTAACGTGAGAAACCAGCGCTGCTGTCTAACACGAGGGGGCATCTGCTAGGGCAGCCCGAGTGACAGGGACAAGATGTGGCGCTCCAAGGGGCAGGGGTGCACGCCTGGCTCTTCCATTGACTGACTGCTCTGTGCCTCAGCTTCCCCTCCTGTGAACGGAGGTAATAGCAGCACTGCATTCAAACGCTGTGACGAGGAAGTGATGTCGTGATGACAAGTGCGGAAAAGCGCCGGGCGCACAACGTGCACCTGCCTTCCTGACCATCGTCTCGGAAAGGGAGAAAGCACGCTCCGCACAGGCCTCTCCGAGCGGAACGCAGACGGACGCTGCAGAGAAAACACTGACAGAATATTCCCCAGGCAAAACGCACGCCACACAACACCCGCGTCCGGAGGCGCCTGGCTCTCACCTGGTCGTGCTTGTAGATCAGGTTCTCCGACGTGGCCAGGCCGAGCGCCACCTGCGCGGTCCTCCTGGTGTGGGTGCTGTCCCGCATGGCGCCCGTCAGGAACGGGCAGAGCAGCTGCACCGACCAGGTGCCCGGCAGCAGCTGCAGAACCTGGGCGGCGTCAAACTCCGCAGCGTGGCGGTTCAGGAGGTCCACGGCGGCCACAGCCAGCTCCGTGGAGGTGGAGGCGGGGGCGGGAGGGCTGGGGCCCGGGCCCAGGTACAGGGCCAGCAGCGTGTGGAAGAGCCGCCGTCGGTAGGCGGGCTCCCTGCCCGCAGAGCGCCAGGCACAGTAGTCCTCGGCCGCAGGGAAGTCCCCCAGCTCGAGCGCCAGGGTGCGCAGGGCCTGCTCGTGCTCCTCCAGCTTCCCGTGCAGGATGGCCCTCTCCATGGGCAGGCCGGCGCCCCGCACTCTCTCTGTGGGCAGAACCAGGGTCAGAACAGCGCGAGGCCAAGCTGGCGCCTGGCCGCTCCTACGCCCCGCCCAGACCAGGTGAGCGGCGTCCGTGTCCACGCTTTGCATCTGGTGTCACAACGCCAAAGACACGTGCTACCTCTCGAAGGACAGGTAGGTCGCAGAATACAGCTTTGCTCGGAGTTTAGAGACTGAACGAAACACATGACCCTGGTCTCAGAAGGCCCGGGAGACCTGCGTGCCAGCCTGGGGCCTCCAACCAGCCCACAGGACCCCCTGTCCAGTGAGCGCCTCTTGACTAACGCAGAAAAGCATCGCAGATAACGTCACCTCTCGCCATACAGTTGGCCAAACCCCTTTCTTCTAATTTGAACTCTATTCCATGCAAAGGCATATGGGTTCACATTGCTAAAATCCATGTCTACATCAGCCTAAAGCAGTGGTTGGCAAACTGCGGCTCGCGAGCCACATGTGGCTCTTTGGCCCCTTGAGTGTGGCTCTCCCACAAAATACCGGCTCTTCCACAAAATACCGACTTCTGCGTATGGGCCACAAAGTTTCAATCGCACTGTACATGCATGCCCGCACGTGGTACTTTGTGGAAGAGCCACACTCAAGGGGCCAAAGAGCCACGTGTGACTCGCAAGCCGCAGTTTGCCAACCATAGGCCTAAAGCAAGCATGTCAAACTTGTAGCCCACGGGCCGCATGTGGCCCAGCCAATATAACGGTACATAAGAAAAGTTTTAGTAAAAAACTCGTAACTTAATTTTTACACTATCCTGTTACACATAATTATTAATAACGAACTACAACGTTCGCTAGTGACTGATTGCTATAATCGTGTTGCATTCATTTCCCTTACGCACCTTATGCACAGGCGCACCATTTCTCTCCACTAACACTAGCAGCGAATATTTTAGCAGCTGATTGCCACATCATTAGTCTTGTACTGACTTGTTTGGTGTGCACAACAGGAAATATTTCACTTTCGGAGAATAAGAAAAATAGGTTTATTTGCGTTACGCTTATTAATTTGTGCAGTTATTCAGTTTGGTAAGTTAACGTGCAAGAAAAAATTAATTTTTATTAAAATGTTCTATTATTTTGTTAATGATACTCATTTATTTCAGCCCTTTGTATTCAGCATGTCTCTATCGAAATAAACCTGCATTTCTATGAAAATTGAAGCTTTTGTTTTTTGCGGCCCACATACACTTAAGCCTTGTTTATTTGGCCCGTGTGAGCCTCTGAGTTTGACATGCTCGGCCTAAAGATTTTCCGGTTTGTCTCACAATGTAAATGTCCGGCTGATAAGTAGACGGCACCAGCAGAGGAGCACAGGGGCCAGCTGCCCTTGGTGGGCCGCTCTCCTCAGTGACGTCCCTTTGCTGCCCGCTCCCCTGCCAGCCAGGACGATAACGTAAGGTCTCTCCCACTGGGCAGGGGTGTTCCGAGGACCACCTCTCCAGGGACCAAGGATTATTCCAATTACAGGCCTTTTGCATTTGAAGTTTGGCCACATCCAGGCCGGACGCACAAGGCAGACACCACCAGTCCTGTAGCAAAGGGCTGGCTCATCCACAGGCCACTGACGGCACCAGACACAGGCTGCACAGGCACCAGCTGTCCTCACAGACCCTGAACACATCACTCCTAAGTGGACGCCACCCGTATGGGACGGGAGAGGCACAAAGACGGTGACGAAAAGGTCTGGCAGCGACCTACACCTTCACGTCTGCTGTCTCATTCATGCTTGACTCTCCCCCCATGGGTGGGCGTGGCAGGAACTACTATGCCACATGCCCCAGTGACACCCCTGGTCACCTGACTCCCAGGGGGCAGCGGTTGTCTGAGTGGCAGTGCTGTTCCAGTCTTGGGGACACCCACTTCCTGCAAGCTCCCAGGCTTACCTTCTGACTGCCAGAACAGGGCCGCCTCGGGGCGGCTCCCGGCCCAACACCCAAGGCCTGGCCTGCTCCTCCCTGGGCCCCACGCGGAGCTTCCACGGCCTCACCTGACACTCGGTTACGAGGACAGGAACCCAGCCACACCACTCTCCACCCTCTGTGCATGTCTGACACTACGCAGGCTCCACAAAGGTGGCTGGATAAGAACACCCATCGACAAACTGCGAGTAGCATGAAGTTGTTATGAAGGGATCTGGACAGCATAAAGTAGGACATAAGTCAGGGGGCAGTGAAAATGCTCAACAAGCATGATCGCACGGGCACTGACCAATCATAACGGGCGGTGGCTGTGGGCGACCGGCTGAATGTCAAGTGCGGGCTGGGGCCAGTGTTGGCCTCTGCACCTGCTCGGAACGCCTGCTGTGGGGCTGGCGAGCTCGGCCCCTGGGCACCTGCTCTGAGCTTCACATTCCTCTGCTATAAAGGTCAGCAAATAAGCGTCACACTGCGTGCTGAGCGTTGTGACCTTGCCTGGGATACACATAGTCAGTCCCCAGTGTTGGCAGATTCTGTATGTGCCTCCTCACCAGCATCTATTTGTAACTCCAAAAGCAATACTTGTGGTGCTTCTGAGGCATCTGTGGCCTCGCCCGCGTGGCCAAACGGGTGAGCCAGCGACAGGTGAAGCAAAGCGACGCTCGGCTCTCACTGGGCACACGTGTGCTTATCACGGTCCACTCAGCTCCCAGTGGAGCACTGCTGTGCTCCTGTAGGTGGTTTCAGCATTTAAAACGGCCCAAGCTCAGGGCTGGACGCGGCTACGCTGGCAGCACAGGAAGGCTGGTGCCTCCCAGGAGCGGTGCGTCCGCTGAGCCTCGGGGAGGCTGACTCAGCGCTGCTGCTGTGAGACAGTGTTCACGAATCAGCTGATATTACATGAGGGTCTTTACACAGAGGCATCAAACACGCTCTGCACAGACCGGCCGAGGGAGAGCTGGGGATCAGAGTGCGCAGGGACCTGGCCCGGTCTCCCGAGCGCAGCAGGGTCCTCACTAGTTGTCTGTGGAGACTACAGCCCCCCTCCAGCGGGGCTGGCTTTGTGCCTTAAAGGCTCAAGGGATCGCCCACGGAACACAGGAGCGATGCCGAAGCCTTGCCCTGCTCCCGCCACCCGCAGGGTTACCGTGGAGCGACCACGAGCTCGCCTCACCCATCAGGAACTGGACTCGGTACAAGTCAGACTTCTGCAGCAGGCGTCGCAGCTTCGCCTGGGTCTCCGTCACCTCGGCCCCCGAGCCGCTGGCGCCGGGCGTCCGCTGCAGCACCGCGTCCAGGTAGAGGAGGGCCAAGCGCGTGTGGTACTCTTCCCTCTGCAGGAAACGGGCCAAGACACGCGAGTTCACGCGGGGGAGACTGGGTGCCCGGCCCGCAGTGCCGAGGGGACCTGGCGGATTCGCAAGGACAATGCACAACACGCTGGCTGGTCAAAACCCTCTCAGAAACCACAACGCAGAGAAGGCGAATTTAAAATCCACGGGGCCCTAGCTGGTCTGGCTTGGTTGGTAGAGCCTCAGCCTGCAGACTGAAACGCCCCAGGTTCGGTTCCAGTCGGGGACACATGCCCGGGTTGCGGACTCGATCCCCAGTGGGTGACGTGCAGGAGGCAGCCGATCAGTGATTCTCTCTCATCATTGATATTTCTATCTCTCTCTCCCTCTTCCTTCCTCTCTGAAATCAATAAAAATAAATAAATAAATAAAAAACTTACAGGGAAACTATAAAAGGGCTACTTCTCATTTTGAGACGGGCCACAGGATATAGATATTCTCCAAAGAGGTACAGCTTCCCTCATTTCCTTTAAGAAAATCAACAAGGAAGGAGTAGAGAAGGAAAGTACGAGCAGAATGGACATGAGATGAGGGTAAGAAGCTACTTACTCCTCCCGCCTCTTTCAGAACCGCCAGCTCCTGCCGACCACCAGCAGCACAGCTGGGCAGCCAGGGCACAAAAAACGCTACACGAGGACCACCTGCCACCAAGTCTTAGTGTGGAATCCTGTCGCTTAGAGCGGGATGCTGCCACCGGCACACCTGATCCACTTCTCGGGGCTCACCTGCAGGTTCCTGTCCATAACCAGGTGTTCCAGGTAGCGCATGAGGGCGTTGGGGTATTTCTTAAGGCGAGTGAGCACATCGTCTGGATTGAAACCGTCCTGCTGCTCCTCCAAAGGCCTCTTGGTGAAAACCTGAACTCCAACCTGAGGGGAGAGCGCGCCTGAGTGCCTGCTGTGCACAGGCCCCTTCTCACCGTGTCCCGAGCACCACGGTCCGTGCTCTGGGTGAAGCCACAGGCTCCGGGAGCAGTGCACAGCCCGGCCCTCCTCACGGCCTGGCCATTCCCTTCAAAGGGCCAGAAGTTAAAGAACGAAACATTTATTGGAAACAACCCATAAAGCAAAACTTTGTGATATTAAGGTCATCCCAAACCAGGACGGTTACTGGCTGACTAGGAAGTGGAAGGGTCTGAAGTGCTGCCCACCCAACGGCCTGTTCTCCTGACGCTGACACCGCTTATGGAGCACCCAGTGTCCCGGCTGCCTCTGGCCTGTCTCCCAGGGCCCACGGTGCAATTCCGTGCTCTGAGGACGTGCTGACGGCACGCAGGGAAGCAAACCCAGCCTGCCCTGCCCCGGCACTGTGTGCACTCTTACGCACACGCTCGCACGCCACAAAGCCCGTCGGCGGAACAGCGCAGCTCGGCTCTGCCAACTGCAGCGCCTGGGGGACGTTCAGAGCTCTCGGAGCCCGGGCTCCCATCCTGAGGCGCCCACTGGGGGCCGTCTCCTCGTTTAAAAGAGGTGACACATGTGAGGGACCGGTGCCGGGTCAGGGAGCACCCAGAGCCCGAGCGCCGTGACCACCTCGTGGCAGCGGGAGAGTCCCCACTGCAGCGGCACCAGGCTGTCAGCGGCGTGAGCAGGTTGGCACGTGGTGCTGCACGTGCCGGCGCAGAGTACAGAGGGCGGGAAACGTACACGGAGCACACGGCCGACTCCAGTTACGACAGCACCAGGGAGGACACGGGCGACCCACATTCCAGAAGGGCACCTGTGGCCAAGGCCCTGCATCAGAAAGCTACCGCTGTGTCTCCAGAGGGAGCGAGGCCGCGCAGGCGTTCTCACAGCGAGAACTGAATGCTTCCCCAGGCGTCTTGGGCCTGTCCTCAGGATTCTGGCCCTGCCCCGAGCACGCTGTCCCCTCTGGGGCCCCAGTGCTCTCTCACTGACCACTGACATCCTTGATCAGCCTCTGAGATGGGCCAGTCCTGCTCACGGCTGCCCTCCTTCCTCCAGACCCACGACCCCGCATCACGGCAGTGGGAGCAGAGACAGGGCAGCGGTTCGCCTGGCGTGGCCCAGGCCGGGCACCCAGCCTGCAGCAGCCATCGGATCCTGCTCCCGTCCACGGACCACACGGCCGCCAGCCTCAGTTAGGTGGGGTTTTGCAGAAGATGCTAAGAATGGGGCTGGCTATGCTGCCGCGTCTCTAGCGTGGCCCGCCCCAGACAGGGTGCTGAACGGCGCGTCTCCAAAAGCACTGAAACGCTGGGACGCCAGGTGCGCAGGGGCTTGTAAAGGGGAGCAAAGGACGTGGACACAGCTCAAAGCGCAGCTTGCTTACCCACCCGAATCAAGGCTTTGTCTGTTTTCACCACCCCAGCCCCACCCCCCGAATGCATTTACGAAGCACAAACCTCCTCACTTTTCTGCAAGGCCCAGTCGGCGTGCTTCCACACCAGCGCGTGGTCCGGGCTGTGGGTGAGGAAGTCCACCACGTAGTCGTACAGGTCTGTGCGCGTGGGGTCGTCAATCTCCCCGTTCACGATGTTCACCCACAACTGGCAGGAGCAACGAGAAGAAACAAAAGCTTACGTACCTGCTAGAAGCGCTGAGAAAGGGCACACGCTTACTTTTTTGGCCTTTTAATACTTAAAAGCAGGCGGACAAATTTTAAGTGCTTAAGTCAAATTTAACTTTTTCTCGGAGAAATAAAGAAATGTAGAAGACATGGCTCAGGCAATCAAGAACACCTGTCCTATTCCCCCCTCTTTAGTGATGTCACTGATACAGGTCACACACGCCCTGTGTGGGAGAGGTGGGTGTGTCCAGCAAGTTTCTGCACAAAAACAACACGGTCACTGACAGCTCAGCACCGAAGTCACCCAGGACCGCTGGCCAGGCTGTCTCCACCTTCTCCATTCCAGAAATTCCTCACCTAAAGTCTTTATCCTACGGTGATAGACACTGTCCTTTCAAACGCTCTGATTCTGTCCCCTAGTGTCCGACAGCCTTTGCACAAGGCCTCGGGACAGGCTGTAATGAGAGGCCTCTGCCATTTCTTGCAGAACTTCCTGCCGTGAAGTGAAGCTTGCCGTTGAGCCCAGCAGGGGCGGCGTCAGGGCAGAGAGGCCGTTGCCCGCCCACCACGGCACTGCACGCTGCCCGACGTGCCTCCGCGCTGCACTGCGGCCACGCCACCAGCCAGAAGCCCCAGAAACGGGCAGGCAGCAGCGGCTGAGTCCGACGATGGGCGCGCCAACATATTTGATGGCACGAGTTTCTTCAGCACTGAGTTCCCTAAACCAAATACTCTGATCACACGCCCACTAAAACGTGTCACTTTAAAAACATAGTGGTTGTCTGTCATACAGTGAGATTTTTTCATATCATTTCAATTTTGAAAATCTCGATATATACCTCTGCTAATATTATTACATGTATATCAAGCTATAATTCTTTTTTTAAATATATTTTATTGATTTTTTACAGAGAGGAAGGGAGAGGGATAGAGAGTTAGAAACATCAATGAGAGAGAAACATCGACCAGCTGCCTCTTGCACACCCCCTACTGGGGATGTGCCCGCAACCACGGTACATGCCCTTGACCATAATTGAACCTGGGACCCTTCAGTCCGCAGGCCGACGCTCTAGCCACTGAGCCAAACCGATTAGGGCAAGCTATGATTCTTATGTAATTATGTGATGCAAAAAATAAAAATTTATCTTTGACACTCAAATCTACTCTCAGCCATGGGGTGCCTGCTGGCGGGAACCATTTTTCTCTCTCAGCCTGTTCTGCAATGATGTTGCCACATAGTTTAAGCAAATGTGAGTGTGCCTTTGCCAAAGTCAGGAAGCTGCCTCAGCTTGCTGAGTGGTGCTGGGGGTCGTGGCTGCTCACAAAGCACAGAAAAGGCCCACGAGGAAGCTGTGACACAAAGCAACCCACGGGCCTGGGACCGGTGCAGCCTCTGTGGAAGACAGTATGGAGGGCCCTCAAAAAACTAAACATGGAACTCCCATCTGACCCATGATCCCACTTCTAGGAATACACCCCAAGAAACCAGAAACACCAATCCGAACAGGTGCACCCCTCTGTTCATAGAGGCACAATTCGCCATAGCTAAGATTTAAAAACAGCCTAAGTGCCCATCAGCAGACAAATGGATTAGAAAACTGTGGTACATCTACCCAATGGGATACTATGCTTCTGTAAAAAGGAAGGAACTCCTACCATTTCCAACGGCATGGATGGAACTGGAGAGCATTAAGCTAAGTGAAATAAGCCAGTCAGAGAAAGATAAGTATCACATGCTCTCACTCATTTGTGGATTATAATGAACAACATAAACTGATGAACAAAAACAGATCCAGAGACATAGAAGCATTAAACAGCCATCAAACCTTAGAGCAGCGGTTCTCAACCTGTGGGTCACGACCCCTTTGGCGGTCGAACGACCCTTTCACAGGGGTCGCCTAAGACCATCCTGCATATCAGATATTTACATTGCAATTCATAACAGTAGCAACATTACAGTTATGAAGTAGCAACGAAAATAATAATTTTATGGTTGGGTCACAACATCTGGAACTGTATTTAAAGGGCCAGAAGGTTGAGAACCACTGCCTTAGAGGGAAGGCGGGGGGCAGAGGATAAGAGACCAACCAAAGAACTTGCATGCATATAAGCATAATCAATGGACACAGATAATAGGGGGGTGAAGGCCTGAGCTGGGGGGATAGGGATAGGCTGGGAGAGGTCAATGGGGGAAAAGGGGCACATATGTAATACTTTCAACACTAAAAAATTTTTAAAAAGTATATGGATTGTCTAACCACTATGCTGTACACCTGAAACTAATACAAAACAATATTAAATGTAAACTATAATTGGAAAAAAAAAAAAAAGACTTTCCTTTCGATAAAAACCACAGCAATCCCAGTGGATGGCAACTACCACAGGGGAACGGTCTCCCAAGAGTGGGAGAGCGGTCAGTCAGATGCTGCCAGATGCAAGACTAACACTTGGTCACTTGATTCAGGCTCCGCATCCGGCCAGTTCTGGTTCCACCCCCAGCTCTACCGCTGGTCAGTGGTTTGAACCTGCCTTGACCATCTTCAGTTTTGTGTGTTTTTAAATATTTTTGCAATTTCAGAGAGAAGGAAGAGGAACAGAGAAATAGAAACATCAACGATGAGAGAGAATCATTGACCAGCGGCCTCCTGCACACCCCACACTGGGGATGGAGCCGGCAACCCGGGCATGTGCCCCAACTGGGAAGCCAAACATGACCGCCCAGTCCATAGGTCGACGCCCTACCACTGGCCGGCAACCAGTTTTAGTTTTGTCACAGATGACACAGGGATCGTAATTTACCAGCTCTCTGGCAATCGTTACTGTCATAAACAGTCATTAATATCATAAATTCGCTAACAGTAGCAGGGCATTATAAAACAAACTGTTATTCCCAGTGTTAATTTTCTAATAAGGTAGTGAAAGCAAATGTCTGAAGCCTCAATAAGAAAGCATATTTTTATTTCTTAAGATTTCAAAAAACTCAGCCTTCATAATGTTCTTATGAAGAGATGTAAAGACAAAGGAAAAATTCTTGGCCCACATTCTCAAGACATTCACTCTCTAAAAACAGTAGTCATCTTGTTGTTTAAAAAAGCTTGTAGATCAGGCAAAAGTGGTCTCTCTCAACTTGTGATGACTTTTAAGCAACACTAAGGCACACGGACTGGTTTCCCAATAATGCCAACGTGCTTTTGAACTAACCTGAACTGCAGCCGCGTCCTGGTTATTATGGTGGTAGAGCAGTCCCAGTGCAAAATACCTGCAAGAAAACAACGTGGTGAGTGCCCCTCCCACCTTCTGTGGGGGCACCCGCACAGTGACACCCCACCCTGCCTTCTCCCCCACTCAGAGTTCAGCAACAACAAGGTCCTCATTTCTGCTTATTTACTTATGGTGTTAAATGCACGCCCAGCACCCTGGCTGGTGGCAGATGGTTGGAGTGTCCTCCTGGGCACCAAAAGGCGGCAGGTTCGACTCCTGGTCGGAGCACATCCCCAGGCTGTGGGTTCCATCCCTGGTTGGGGCATGTACAGGAGGCAACCAATCAATGTTTCTCTCTGACATCAATCTTCCTGTCTCTCTCCCTCTAAGCATATTATCAGGTGAGGATTAAAATAAAAAATTTATGCCCTATCAATTTAAAAAAAAACCACATTCAAGTCTAAGATAAGCTGACCAATAAAACTATGACTTTACTATGGAAAATCACGTTTGAAGTATCTTTACAATTTGCTTCAAATATTACTATAATTTCATATATCTTCAGTTAGCCACTTTAACCTAATATTAAAGGACTATTTGGAAGGGTTGCTACCTGAACTATTATTGCAAGAAGGAATAAGGAGTTTGAACATGAACAGCAGTAAAGACCAACAGGATCCAGGCATCACAGAGAACAGAACGTCAGGGAAAGTCCTGGGGGAGGCCACCAGAGTTCAAGGGCATGAGTTTCTATTCAGGCTGCATTACTTATGACTGTGTGACCTTGAGCAAGTAGAAAGGATCAGCAACGACATTGGCATTGCCTGGGCAGTGAGCCACAACCACCCTTCCGAGTTCTGCAGGTGTGTCCTGCTCCTGGTCCCCTGCTCCCCAGCAGGGGACTGGAGCAAGGGACCCAGGAGGTGTCAGATTTCTTCCCACACAGAGCAAACTCCCAGGATATGGCTGACTCTCCGGACCCTGTCATCCCATCACTACCATGAGGTGTCAGAGTATTTTCTGGTCCTAAACAAAATGACTCCACTCCACACGCGTTCAGGAATCGGAGGGACAGCTGGAGGAGCAGCGCCACGTGGAGACCAGCCACCAGGCTCTTGTCTTGGCCTCTGAACAGGGCCAAGCACTGGACCCACCCAGTCCCCGTGAGATTTCACCAGGGCGGTTGTCATTTCAAATACATAACAAAAACCACAGACCAAGAACCTTATTGCCAAGTGGAGCGTGGGGGTCACCCAACACTTTTAAAGAAAAAACTCGTGAGGCCCAGAAGATTCAACCACGTGACATCGCAGGAGGAGGAAGCTGCCACCCAGACCCAATCCGTGTCCTCGGATTAACTGCCCTGGGGTGGCCGCCTACTAACGCGTACCCATAATGAAGACAGATTTAAGTCATAACCTCTTACCCACGAGACCAAGAAGCCCCCGTTTATCCTTTTATCCAGATGTCTATCTATTCAAACTGGGCATCAGTGGGTAACGTGCGCTATTAACTGTGCCAACAAACACTGGTGTCTTCCACGGGCGAATCCTTCCTGGAACAGGAGCAACCTGAGGACCACTTCACTTACTACAGGCTGGTTAGCTCCACACGGAAGATGCCACCGGGAGGCGCTGGCTGTCACTGGGACTTCAGGGCAGCCCCTCGAAGGGCCTCGGCAACTCAAACCCACTGGCTTCATTGGCTTCACGGCAGCCTCCCCACGGGAGGGAAGGCCAAGCAGGAAGCCGGGCCGTGGAGGACACTCACCGTTTGTGCTTCTCCAGCCAGGCAGCACTGTCGGCCAGCAGGCAGGCGTTCTCGGTGACCAGGAGGTCCAGCAGGCTGGCGTGGCCGGCCTCGGCGTACAGCTTGAGCAGGGCCGTGTCCACGTCCTCCTTGTAGCCGTGGACCACCTCTGAGCTGCGCACTTCTTCCAGGTAGGTCACGAGGAAGCGCTTGCACTTGGCCGCCTTCTCCTGGTCGCCCTGGGTCAGCTGGTTCAGGTCTGCGTACTCGTGGAGAGGAGGGTGAGACCGCGTGAATGAAGAGGAGGTGGGCAACAGGAAGGGGCACAGAGAGATCAGCTCCCGGACGTCAAGCTGGCCGCTTCTGCAATTACAGTGTCAAACTAAATGAAGCAAAAAGAGAGAGAGAGTGCACGTAGGCACACAAACAGCACTGGAGGGCGGGCGCGGAGCAGGGGAGCTGCGCACCACGGCAGAGACCGCCTTCCCCCGCACGCGAGGCACAGCATCCCCGAGCCCAGCGCCACCACCTGATCTCACACAGAGGGAGGGGACCAGAGAGGACGCACAACGCGTGCTGCAGTGAAACTCCGACACAGCCGCACACAACGGGCTGTGGCTCCCCGGCGCCCCAGGGCAAAGAAAGCGACACAAAGGCAACACCCATCAGCGTGGGGCCGTCCTGCACTGCTTCCTCCCCGGCTGCTGGACGTCCTACAGGCTCTGCGGGACCCCAGCTTCCAGCTTCCTCAGCAGGCACCTGGGACCAGGGACATGAGCACCGCGGCCCTTTCCAGGGACTCCTGAGGACTCAAGCGGCCAGCAGTCCTCACCTCGCAAGGCCCAGGAGGCCCTCCAGGAACGCCCATCGCTACCGCATCGCCGCTCCCTCTCCCCTCGCCTCCCTCCACCCCAGTTCTGCCCACAGTGCTAACAGCAGCAATGCCAGCAAAGCCTCAGGCATGGCCCAGGGTCAGAGCTGCCTGTGGGACACACCCGCCGTGGGAGGGTGGGAGAGTGGGAGGGTGCGAGGTGCGGGCGCCGGCCATGTGAGGCAGCTCCAAACTTCTAGCAGCAAATGGAGAAGGAATCTGAGGACCAGCCCCAGATGAGTGAGGAAAAAATCACGAGTATTATTAGCACGGTCTGCCGAGGGTACAGGAAGGGAAGGCAGAATCATGCCTGTCCCAGGAGGGTCCCCCTCAAACCTGCGCTTCCCTGGCCTCGCTGACAAAAGCGAGCAGCAGCCGATGTAAAGGTAAGTGATACAGAGGCCGACGTGGGAAGCACAGCAGCCCGTGGTGACCGTGGACAGGCCCCACATTTATTCTGACAAAGTCGGCAAACTTTCCGAGGAGCGCACCATGACCGTTCACCTGTATTTTAAATTAACCCGTGACATGACGGAAGACCCCAGTGAGGAGGCTGCCAATTCCGCGGGGACAAGACCAGGCGTGAGTGAGAGCGTCAGCCCACAGGGACCAGGACTCCTCCCCGACCCCAAAGCTAGTGATCATCCAGGCGCAGATGACAACAGCAGAGAACTTCTGCAGGCAAACGGTTAGCGGGCACCAGGCTCACACGGGAACCCCTTTAGCCAGTCTGTTCTCTGCAACTAATCGGGGACCAGGGACACGATCAGAGCCGCAGTGCGTGGCGCAGGGCGCTGGCGGCAGGCACGGCTCCTCCTGAGCGCAGGCCTGGAGGCTGCACAGACCAGCGCAGCCCGTGGCGGCTCCCACCGCAGGCTCTGCTCCAGCCCCGCATTCGGAAAGCTGCTCATAGGCAATGCGCTAGTGGGCACTCAGACGACGGTACAGGTTTCACCTAATCTTCTGCAAAGCATGCTGGGCACACAGTGTGAGAGGGCAGGGCGGCTGGGAGAACGGTGAGACAGGACGGGCGAGGGGCGAGGGTGGATGGCCCTGGTACCGACAGGGTTACTCATGGTGCCGGGACCCTCCCGGCAGAAACAACTTCCTGAGCGAGCTAACTATGACGGGCCATTCAGAGTCTTTAGGGAGTCGTTTTCACAAGTCCTCCCAGAACCGCCTGCTCTTGTTCTAAACTCAGCTTCCCGTGAAGCCTCTGGAGAAAAGGAAACGCGAACAATGGTATTTCCCTAACAGCCCTCCACGTTATCAAACCCGCTCTTTGAACTCCCCTCTCCCGTCCTGTACGCCCGCATCAGCCCCCCCTCCAAGAGACGAGACAGTTAGACTAAGACTGAGGGTGCAGCGGACGGGGACCATCTAGCCAGGGCAGCACCTCCCTCCGCAGCCTGGAGGTGGAATGGAGCCGAGCACAGAGGGACCCCGGAAGCCGGGCTGCTGCACCTCGAATTACCTGAAGAGCTCTTTAGCTTCCAGGAACTGCAGCTGTGCAAAGTGTATGAAGCCCGCCTGCTGCAGGATCCTCCTGTACATTCCCTGAAAGAAAGACGGCTATCAGAGCCACGCTCAGAAGCTTCGACAGAAACACCACCCACAGCACACGACACAGATCAAGGAAACGCTGGACACACACCTTTGTCTCCTCGATGCCTCTTTCTTAAAGCGCCACACTCTGTCTCTTTGGATCTCTAGAAGAAATACTCCTTTACTCCCAGCCCCTCAGCCAAACTTCTGATAATCCCTCCCTAGCGCTCAGTGGAGCAAGGTCAGTTCCTGCTTTAAATGAAGAGAAGGGGGTGAACGGTGAGAAGCCAGTCTCCTGACCGCCTGGCTCCTTCCTCTCCCTTTCGGTTTCTCTAAGCCTGGGCTAGCGTTTGGCCGCACACATCCTAACGTTAAAGCAAGTAATGTACCTTATGGTAAGGTCACATCTAACCCTAAAAACACAGCCCCTTCAGGAGAGGTTACCCCTAAACAACCACCTCTGCTCCACACCCATCCCATCAGCGTGCTGAGAGCCCGGTCCACAGCTGTGACTCCCGCGGACCCATTCCTTTGTAGCTCAGCCCGGAAATGAGCAGAGGTGGGAAACCCAGAGAGAAGAGTCTACCCAGGAGCCGGGAAGGCTCAGGAACAGGCATATTTCAGCGAGGTACCGAAAGAGTAATTTACAGCATGGAAGTCGCTCCAGTAAAGTGGGGGGGGGGAAGAGGGGTGTGAGGGCGCGGCAGGGGCACGGCAGGTCCGCACGGGGAGACAGGCCCCAGCGCTCTGCTCGCACCAGCTGCCGTGCCTTCCTGCCTCTGCAGGCTGTACTGGTTATGTTTTACCTGCTCTGAGGATGGAAATGTCTAAAATGCCTCTCAGAGGGCTTTCACACTGTAGGGCTCAACCGCTGTACCCAGGTCCGCTACCCTGTGAGGTGACTGTGGTTCCGGCACGTTTCACAGGGCGACAGAGCGGGCAGGAGAGGGGAGCGGGCGGGGCCGATCTGAAGCACCTGCAGGGTGTGGACTTTACTGTCGGCAAGAGGCCCCCATGATGCATCTTACGCCAGGATGTGGTCTGCAGTTTAGAAAGATCGCCCCAGGGTGGCATGGAGGATGGAGCAGGCACCCCGAGGAGGCTGCTGATACCAACCAGCTGCAAGGGCGGGCACGGAGAAAGGGCTGAACCCGAGGTCCTTCTGAGGGTCCCAGGGCTGTGCGTGTTCGCAGCAACAGGGAGAAGGCAGAGGGCGTGTTAGAGAGGGGACACGCCGACTGAGATATCGGACCAGAGAGCAAGGCGGCTAGTCATGTTCTTAATACTCACTGCACATGTCTACTCGTGGCAAGAAGAGAGGAGAAAAGGCAAAAGCAGACAAAGAACCAGGAGAGCCCCTTTAAGAAAATGTTACAAACTTCAAGTGTGCACGTGTGCGTGCACATGCGTGTGCGTGTGTGTGTGTGTGTGTGTGTGTGTGTGTGTACGCGCGCGCACGCACAAGGAGGGGCACCCCAGGACCGGCCTGTCCAGCCATCCAACTTGTCTGCAGGCGGCAGCTCAGGGGTCCCTGATACACAGGCAAGAGGAGCGAGGAGCCCAGCAGGGTCTCAGGTCCGGCTACGGGCTCCTCAGGGCCACTGGCTGGCGGTGTAAGGAAAGCACTGCGGGGCGCTCAGCACAGCAGGCCCTGAGCAGGCACTTTCTTCCTTTTGCTTTTGCTGCCCCCTGCTGAGAGCTAATGGGTAGGTCTTACTTTAAAAAATTAGGAGGGCCGAAACCGGTTTGGCTCAGTGGATAGAGCGTCGGCCTGCGGACTGAAAGGTCCCAGGTTCGATTCCGGTCAAGGGCATGTACCTGTGTTGCGGGCACATCCCCAGTAGGAGATGTGCAGGAGGCAGCTGATCGATGTTTCTCTCTCATCGATGTTTCTAACTCTCTATCTCTCTCCCTTCCTCTCTGTAAAAAAATCAATAAAATATATATTTAAAAAAATAAATAAATAATTAGGAGGATGAAAGTTCATCACTATTTAAATATAGAAAAGATGCCTTCTTTTCTATGCCTTCACACCCCATAACCACCAAGTACACTTCCTGCCTCTCGCTTTCAGAACCTACCTTTTTCAGCATAAAGCATCCTCTCATTCCACAGCAGTCACAGCCATGGACTGTGAAGGGTTACTCTACGTCCATGAGCCCTTTCAACGACGACTTAGACATTCACATGAATGTACACGCACCCACATCACATTTCTTTTTCTCCCGATTCCACAGAGTAACCTGAACTGACCTGACAGCCGATCAAGCAGCAATTGTTAGGGAATGTGACTTCATTAGACATAAGAACAACTGGTGATTATTATATCCATTACATTTATTCATACCAACTCTACGAAAGCTCACGTTTCTTAAGTGCATTGAGTTTTCTCCTAAGGAAATTAACTAGGTGGATTCCTGCAGTATTAGATAGCTATCAGTATGGTTAACCTGTAGAAAATAGAAACCTAAACTTTTACAATTCAGTCCATCCCAACAAATACAAATTCTGAAGGAGGAAACAAAGTAACCTGCTGCTACTCTTGGTTTTCGGAATTATGCCCTGATTCTTCTTTGAAGGCCACTGAGGAAGGAAGTTGATCAGAAACACAGCTCTGTGTACTAAGCACAGAAGCCGGAGGCTCCCAGCCTGACCTGGCTGTCGGCCGTGTCCTGCGGCTGCTGCCCGGGGCGCGGCTCTGCACCTGTTTCCTACCTGCACAGTGGGACGTGCGAGAGAACTCTGCCCCAGCGGTGGGCACACAGGAAGGGCTCCTGTGTGGGGCTAACCCTGAATGCTTTCTGCTTACTGCCCCAGAGGCATGCTTCCCCCATCAGGAGCTACAGACCTGAAATTTCTCCTTCGGAATGTTCCTCCGGGCTCCTTTTGCTAAAACCAACGCCTCCTCCACTCTGTGGCTTGCTAGAAGATCCTGTATTTGTTTTTCCAGAGGTAAGGGAACCAAGATGTAAACTCCTTTACTTGTGGCGACAATCACTCTTCCTGGGAAGAAAGTCAACCAATTGGAAAGTGGAAGACATACTGCCGGCAAGAAAACACGCTGCTCCCCACACTGACCCCGCTCTGACCAGCTGATCAATTTCATCGGCGTTCTCCCACACAGAATCACCACAGAAACTAGAAATGACAATGCCTCTCTCTTCTTTACCCCATACTTTAAACTGTCAACAAAGGCCAAAGTCTTAACACTCCATTTCCAAAGTATAAAATATCCTTTTTTACATTGTTTTTATTTGAAAGTGCTGATAAATTTACAACCAGTTGAGTAGATATACAATATACAGTCCAATGAGGTTATAGAGATCAGTTATGGAAAATTATCAGTCCGAATTATGATGTACCTCATATAACTTTCAAAATTTTATTTTCTGTTTGTGTTAGGTACTTTACAGGAAACAAGATTATAACACGACATTCTGAACGATGAGATAGTATTTCATACTCACCTGCCATACAAACACCTCCACATCTCGGCACCACCTTACTCACTCCCCCACACAGCTGTGAGTCACCCTGACCGTGGCCAGCAATGTCACCCCATTTCACCTAGGGGACTTTGCACAGGCATCCACCCAGGAGTGCAACTACAATCCAAGACCAGCTCCTAGTACAAAGCTTTATTTTTTTTAATCCTCACTTGAGGAAACACTTATTGATTTTTAGAGAGAGAGAAAGAGAGAGAAACATCAATCAGTTGCCTCCTGTAGGTGCCCCAAGCAGGGATCGAGCCCGTAAACTAGGTATGTGCCCTAACCTGGAATTGAACCCACAACCTTTTGATGCATGGGATGATGCTACAACCAATTGAGTGACCCAGCCAGGGTCCAGTACAAAGCTGTTAAGTGGGTTCTGCTGCGGCCTGGGGACACGTGTTAAGCGAGCTATTACGTGTTCACAGGAAGCAATGGCACGGCTTCTCTTTCTGCCTCAAGGAGAGTTCTGGTCAGCCACGCCTTTGCTGCTGTCAGCTCGTCTCCCCTGCACTCCTGCCCACCGCAGCCCAGCCAGCCCTCGTCTCCTGGCCTGGATCGTCACCGCGTCTCCCTCCCTGGTCCTGCTCTGCTCTCTTCTCGATTATCTGTCCCCTGTTCTCACAACCAAACTAGCTTTTCTCATACTCAGGAGACTCTGTCCCCTCTCTGTGCTGGAGTCCCTGTTCCCAGGAAGGGCAACGTGTGGTGAGCTAAGATCCTTAAACGATACACGCAACGCAGGAATCTGGACTAGTTCCTGGCCCAAAGAAAAGATCACAGCAGGCATTCTAGGACCCTGGGGAATCTGACACAGGCAGGACATGGAGCTCACTCTCTAAGGTGCGGAGGGGCGGTGTGGTTACGGAGGAAAGTGCCCTGATTCTGAGGAGAGGCAGTCTGGAGTATTACGGTTTAAACGCTGCGTGGTCCTCTACTTCCCTTCAACGTTAGGCACTACATCTAAGTGGACGGTGCACAGAGGTTCCCTTTGTCTTCTCTCAACTCTTCAGTACATTTAAAAACGTTCTAATAAAGTTTAGAGGTAAAATAAATCCACCCCCTGGCTCCCCACTGCACAGAAGAGGCAGTCCCTCCCTGACTGCCCTGGTCTCCTCATCTGACACCATCTTCCTCCCACGCCGGGCACCACAGCCACTGGCCTGCTTCCGGGGCCAGAAGTGCAGGTTTGCATGCACCTTGCTCTCTACCTGAAGGTTCTTTCAGAGCACGTGTGCTTGGCTGAGTCCTTCTCACCCTTAAAGGTTTGGCTCAAATACCACCTCCTTCAGGAAGCCCTCCCGGTTATTTCTAGGAAATCCTTCCTCCTCCGCTCTCCCCTTACTTCATTCTATCAGGTTCTTCACCTGCTGTGCCTACTGTTTAAATGTCTCTCTCCCCACTGACCTGGGGCCCCGAAGTACGGAATGTGTGTTACCATCGCCTTGTATCTGCTATGCTCAGCATAAACCCGGTTCCTAATGGCTCGGAGCAGTATTTACTGAGGAAATGTCACGAGAGAAGTGATAATGGAATTTTGTTAAGATTTCTGCGTGAACTGGTACCTTCGAAGTCCTGCAGAATGTGGCCTTCCTTGAAGGGCAGGGTCTGCTTCTGCTGCTGGTCCAGCATGCTGTGGACTGTGATGAAGGCGTCGTCGAGCGCCAGGACGTAGGGGAAGCAGACGGCCGCCCCGATCACGTTCTCCGACCAGTGCACAGGAGCCCGCTGAGAAATCCCAGCAACAGTGGCAAACATGCCTAGAAAAACAGGGATTAGGAGGCCTTAAGTAACTACTTATTTTCCTGCGTCTGGATGCAGAATATCCCCCACTTTCCTTATATCTCAGATAGGAAAGATAACATAATATACTGCACATGTGAAGAACTCTTCGTGACTTCATTTCCATGAGAACTAGCTTCCCAGAGTGTATATCTTATATTTACTTCCAACGAAAAATGAAGATAAACTGGGGGATTAAAAATGGTGGTGGAGTAAGTGGATGCTGCATGCTCCCAGGACCTAACTGGAATTACAGCTAAAACACAGAAAAACTTCTTGAATAATTAACTAAACGCTCGCTGGAGAGGACCCTATAAACGAGGACCGAGAGTGAAGACCGCATAGAGACTGGTAGGAGGGGCGGAGGCGCAAAAGGTCTAGCCGGCTGCCACAGACACCAGCTGAGGTTCCAGAGGCATATCTCAGCTCCGGGGGGTTCCCATTGAGAACGCTGGGGTCTAAACCCCAAGAAGAAAGCACAAGAATTGAGAAAGGTGACCACATAACATCTGGCTGTGAAAAGCAGCAGGGTTGCTGTCTGCCAGGGAGAGGCAGCTAGAAATGCAGGCACCCTCTTAAAGGGCCAACACACAACCACTCACCTTGTGCTCCAGCAGAGGGAGGGCACAGTGAACTGGAGCTGTGTGAGCAGAATTCAGGATTGGGGGCTCTGGGGTTATACCTCAAAAGGTACACACCCCGGTTTCCAGTGCTGAGTCATTCCCTCGCGCTGTGGAGGTCGTCCTTCTCACAAAGACATTTGCTATACAGGCGGCTTTGCCTATTGGAAAGCACCTTGTCCCACTGAGTTACTGAGGCCCATTAAGAGACTGAGAATTAGAATTAACCTCCAGGCAGAAGCAATTGCCCCACCCTGTAGATGATTACCTGAGGGCTAGTTGAGACTAAATCCAATCAGCCTGCAAGCAGAAGCAGTCTCTAGAGCAGTTGTTCTCAACCTTCCTAATGCCGCAACCCTTTAATACAGTTCCTCATGTTGTGGTGACCCCCAACCATAAAATTATTTTCGTTCCTACTTCATAACTGTAATTTTGCTACTGTTATGAATTGTAATGTAAATATCTGATATGCAGGATGTATTTTCATTGTTACAAATTGAACATAATTAAAGCATAGTGATTAATCACAAAAACAATACGTAATTATATATGTGTTTTCCGATGGTCTTAGGCGACCCCTGTGAAAGGGTTGTTTGACCCCCAAAGGGGTCGCGACCCACAGGTTGAGAACCTCTCTAGAAGCTCAGAGTCTTTGCTCAATCTAATTAGTCAGAAACAGTGTTTGACTGTCCAACACTAGAGATTGAAAGGCGTAGCAGATCTACCTAATATAAAGTCACAAACCCAAACAGGCAGCCAAAATGAAGAGACGAAGTAACAACCCTCAAATGGAAGAACAAGAGAATTCTCCAGAAGAAGAGATAAATGAAGCAGAGATAAGAAATTTATCTGATATAGAGTCAGAAAAATGATGGTAAAGATGCTCAACAGCAAGAGAAAAGATATAACTATGAAACCAGAAATAAAGAATGACATAGCACAAATAAAGAGCACATTGGAAGGAATACACAGCAGATTAGGAGTGGCTGAGGATCGGATCAGTGAATTAGAAGACAGGGTAGAAAAATCACTCAATCAGAACCAAGAAAAAAACAATTAAAAAACAGGAAGACAACTTAAGAAAGCCAACATGAAATGTACCATATTCACATGATAGGTAAGCCAGAAGGGGAAGAAAAAGAACAAGAGATAGAGAACATGTTTGAAGAAATAATGGCAGAAAACTTCCCTAACCTGGTGAAGGTCATACAAGAGTCCCAAGCATAGAGTCCCAAGCAAGAAGAACCCAAATAGGCCCACACCCAGACGCAGCATAATTAAAATGCCAAATACTATAAGACAAAGAGAGAATCTGAAAGGCAGCAAGAGAAAAGCAAAGAAGCTCCCATAAGGCTGACACATGATATCTCAATAGAAATTCTACAGGTCAGGAGAGAATGGCATGAAGTACTCAAGGTAATGAAAAGCAAGGATCTATAGCAAAGATAACTATATCCAGCAAGGCTGTCATTCAAAATAGACGGTCAAATAAAGAGCTTCCCAGACAAAAAAAAAAAAAAAAAAAAAAGCTAAAGGAGTTCATTATCACCAAACCAGCATTGCAAGAAATGCTAAAGGGTCTGCTGTAATGAGAAGAAAGGGAGAAACCTAGAATTAAAATGGCAATAAGTACTTATCAATAATAACCTTAAAGGTAAATGGATTAAATGTTCCAATCAAAAGGCATAGGGTAGCTGGATGGATACAAAAACAAGACCCAACTATATGTTGTCAACAAGAGACCCAACTCAGAAAAAAAGGTTCACACAGGATGAGAGTGAAGGGATGGAAAAGAATTTTCCATGCAAATGGAAAAGAAAAAAAAAGCTGGGGTAGCAATACTCATATCTGACAAAATAGACTTCAAAATGAAGGCCATCACAAGAGACAACATAGGTCACTACATAATACTAAAGGGATCATGATCCAACAAGAGGATATAACCCTGGTAAACATATATGCACCCAATATAGGAGCACCTAAATATATTTTAAAAACTTCTAGAGGACTTTAGCCAGTTAACTGCCACGACATTTAATTTAATTAAAAATGGTCTGCCACTTGCATCTATAGACACTTATGGCGTACAAATGGTTAAGGGAGAGACTGACAATACAGTTATAGTAGGGACTTTAACACCCCCCTGACTCCACTGGCTAGATCTTCCAGACAAAAATTTAACAAGGAAACAGTGACTCTGAATTGCACACTGGATCAGATGGATTTAATTGACATTTATGGAATATTTCACCCCAAAGCTACAGAGTATATATTCTTCTCAAGTGCACATGGGTCATTCAAAAAGACAGACCACATGTCAGGACACAAAACAAGCCTCTACAAGTTCAAGAAGATTGAAATCATATCAAGCATCTTCTCAGATCACAGTGGAATGAAATTAGAAATCAACTACAGTAAAAACACCCAAAAACATTCACACACATTGAGACTAAATAGCATGTTATTAAACAATGAATGGGTTACCAATGAGATCAAGAAAGAAATAAAAAACTTCCCGGAAACCAATGAAAATGAACACACAAGAATCCCAAATCTGAGAAACAGCCAAAGCAGTCATGAGAGGGAAGTTCATAGCACTACAGGCCCACCTCAAAAAACAAGAAAAATCTACAATAAACTATTTAACCCTACAGCTTAAAGAACTAGAAAGAGAACAAGAAAAGCCCAGAGTAAATAGAAGAAAGGAAATAATAAAGACTAGAGCAGAAATAAATGACATAGAGACTAAAAAATCACTACCAAAAAATCCAATGAAACCAAGAGCTGGTTCTCTGAAAGGATAAACAAGATTGATAAACCATTAGCCAGACTATCAAGAAACAAAGAAAGAGGACCCAAATGAATAAAAGCAGAAACAAAAGTGGAGAATTAACCACTGACACCAAAGAAATGCAAAGGGTTATAAGAAAATATTATAAACAATTATATACCAACAAGCTGCACAATGTGGATGAAATTGACAAATTCCTAGAAAAATACTACCTCCCAAAACTGAATCAGGAGGAACCAGAAAACCTGACTAGACCAGTTACAACTGATGAAATAGAAGCAGCAATCAAAAAACTCCCAGCAAACAAAAGCCCAAGTCCAGACGGTTTCACAGGGGAGTTTTATCAAACATTCAAAGAAGAACTAACACCTACACTCCTCAAACTATTCCAAAAAGTCCAAGAAGGAGGAACACTTCCCAGCTCTTTTTATGAGGCCAGGATTATTCTAATTCCAGAACCAGATAAAGACACTACAAAGAAAAAGAATTACAGGCCAATATCCCAGATGAACATAGATGCTAAAATCCTCAACAAAATATTAGGAAATCGGATCCAGCAATATATTAAAAAGATCATACACCATGACCAAGTGGGATTTATTCCAGGGATGCAAGGCTGGTACAATATTTACAAATCAATAGACATGATACATTACATAAACAAACTGAAAGACAAAAATCACATGATCATATCAATAGATGCAGAAAAAGCATTAGACAAATTCCAACATCCATTTTTAATAAACACTCTCAGCAAAATGGGAATAGAGGGAGCATATCTCAACATAATACAGACCATATATGACAAACCTACAGCCAACATCATACTCAATGGGAAAATACTAAACGCATTTCCCCTAAGAACAGGAACAAGACAGGAATGCCCACTTTCACCACTCCTGTTCAACTTAGTATTGGAAGTGCTAGCCATAGTGATCAGACAAGAAGAGAAATAAAAGGCATCCAAATTGGAAAAGAAGAAGTAAATCTATCATTATTCACAGATGGCATGATAGTGAACATAGAAAACCCTACAGACTCCATCAAAAAACTATCAGATTTAATAAATGAATTAAGCAATGTAACATGATACAAAAATAACACCCATAAACCTATGGCATTTTTAAAAATATATATTTTTTATTGATTTCAGAGAGGAAGGAAGAGGGAGAGAGAGACATAGAAATATCAATGATGAGAGAGAATCATTGATTGGCTGCCTCCTGCACGCCCCCCATTGGGGATCAAGTCCACAACCCAGGCATGTGCCCTTGACCAGAATCAAACCTGGGACCCTTCAGTCCACAGGCTGATGCTCTGTCCACCAAGCCAAACCGGCTAGGGCTCTATGGTATTTTTATACAACAATAATGAACTCAAAGAAAGAGAAACTAAAAAAAAAAAATCCCATTTACCATTGCAACAAATAAATTAAGATACCTAGGAATAAACTTAACCAAGGAGGAAATAGACCTGTACTCAGAAAACTACAGGATGTTAAAAAAAAAAAAGAGAGATAGAGGAAGACAGAAACAAGTGGAAGAATATTCCATGTTCATGGGTTGGT